GTGACTCTTTTGGTTTTATTCATTGAACTTCTTGTTTTTTTTTTTTTTTTTTTTTTTTTTTTTTTTTTTTACATCTCTTTTCCCCCAAGAAAACAAGAGGGAAAGAAATGAAACTATTATTCATGAATATGATCAGGATACTTTTAGTACTCATGTGAATTTTTTGTCAGTCACCATCATGATTTCAAGTCATGAATTTATTTTTACATGCTTATGCATGCATGTTTACATGCATTAGTTACTTAATTGATGTTAAAATCCATTAAATTCAAATGAATAGGAGAAAAATTTGTTCATAGGATTTTGTTCTCGTTATATTACATTTTATTTTATTTTGTTTTATTTAAATAATCAGTTTAAGGCTTATAAAGGTTGATTTGCTCCTGAACTGCTTTGTTTCCCAGACATTGCCATCTTCCCCAACTACCACCAAGTCCTCTCCATCTGATCCCATGACCACCTCCAGAGCTAATCAGGTACAGTATCATCCTGTCATCTACACCATACTTTTCACGGGTGATTGCCTGCAAACTGGAGAAAAAGATAATGGTGGGTTAAGGATTTATTCGTTCATTCACATATATGCACCATAATCAGATTCCAAATAACCTAAGAAATAAAAATCAATTATTTCTAAAATTTTGTATGCATTTCTAATTTTAGATAACAAATACTATATTCAGATATTAAACTACTATAATTTTTTATTATTTTTCCTTAAAATTGTGACTACGTAATGGAGCTCTGAAGGCTATTTATTGAATTGGTATTTTTAATTTCCCTTATTGTATCTTCCTAGAATTTTTCATGTGTAAGTTAAGGATATCATATATGTAAAAAATAAATGTATAAATTGAGCAAAGGTATATCTTTAAAAGTGAACGCAATTTTATTTGCTTTTTATTTGAGACATGCCTTATTATGTAAACAACTTTCAACTATTGATGAAAAGCATTTCTAACAATCTAAAAGAATTGAAAATTGGTATTTGTGGTAATTTTAATGTTTAACAACTCAGGAGAAAATTCTAAGCATTTTCATTGCTCGACTGACAAACTTTGCAAGTAGAATATATTTTATTAGTTTGATTTATGATTGTTTTGGTACTATTTGTAGGTCATTCTTCAAAAATGTGGTTATTTTTGACAAATATAAGAAGATTATCTAAAATATTTGTGTAATTCAGAGTCATACTGTACTTTAATTTGACAAATGTTGAATAATATATTTATTAAAATTATTAAACACATTTTTATTTTGTCTGAGTTGAGCTTCATTTAGGTGAGAAATGTTATTTTCTTTAATATTTTTGCTTTTTTAATAATAAAAGGCTTTATGGGGTTATTTAAATATTAAATAAAAGCTTATCTGTTTAATATATTTTTCATATAGTTGACTAATGAATTATTAACTTTGAACTATATTTGCTAAATATATTAAATATGATTTTTTCGTATTATCTAATATAAGACTATCAGAAATATTTTGCTGATTTGTTGATTCTAATACTTTTGCAACCTGAAGAAAGATTTAAATATAATAACTGGAAGCAAAACTGATATTTAGGATGATATTTTATATTACAGGTTTGATTTTCATTTTATGCAATAGCGTTCCCTTCAAACAAAAGTATTTTATAATGCAAACATTTTTAGGTCCAATAAATTGGTTAGTAAAGTACACATCTCCCGTGGTAAAAACCAACACTTCTCTTTGAAGGAAATGGTATTACATAAAGTGACAATCAAGCTTGTATTACAAATGCATGAGGTTTAAAAGTATACTTACATTTTTACTCTACATACCTTATCTTTTACTGAGCTTTAATTGTATGGTGTAAAAACCTTTTAGGAAAACAACTGATTTTATGTTTTTAATATTTCTTTTGTACTTTATCATTCTGTCTTTTCCAAATGTAAACATGACAAACACAACCACATTAAAAATAAAACGAATGATTTTTCTCAAGGTAAAAATCCCTGGATCTAGAAGAGAAAATCTCCTTAATAATTTTGCCTTTGAAGCTAAATTTGTATTTTCTTTCATTTATTCTTATAAGAGCATGTGAATCTTTATAAAATGGTTTCTTAAAAGGCTAATTATATATTTAAGTTTACTAATATTATATTTTTACCCTCTAGATAAAGTGCTTGCCAAATCTAAGTTTTGCTATTTTGAAATAAGTCATTTGTAATTTTATATTCTGTCCACTATACTCTGTTATATTGTTACTTATACTCTGTTTTCTTCTGTTCTTGTACAAAGAAGCATAATATCTCCTGGATATCATGAAGCAAGATATAAGAGAAGAACAAAACAAAATCTGTAATTCATAGAAAGAATTGTAATCATCAATCTTTCATATTATTAATAGTTTGTAATTATTTTTTCCCCAACAGTATTTTCCAGTAGATTCTAATCATGTGGTAGGACAGAAGGAAATGTATTTTTTGTTGTTCATTTGTTTCTTGTCAATAGTCCCAATTAATATAGCTTTGCTATACTGACTTATATCTGGAAGTGTATAACAAGATAAGAAAATAGGTTCTAATATGATCATCTTAAGCTATTTGTAATAAAAAGAACTAATGGATTGTCAATATTCAGAAAACCAAAAATAAAAAACACAGAAAACTATTCAAGGAGTAAGTTTGATCTGCATTTCCAGTATTTAAAAATACTTTTTATTCTTTTAAAAATGATGACATGTTTCAGTACATACCGAATTTTACTTTATTAACCTTGAGACCCCTTAACACGTTTCCATAGGTCAGACTGACATACTCTGACTACAGTGTTGTCCTGTAATAATTTCCTCCTTAAAACTGAAAGACTATTATATGAGAAGTCTTATGAAATGATGGCATGGTGGCTCACACCTGTAATTTCAACACTTTGGAAGGCCGAGGTAGGAGAATCACTTGAGGCCAGGAGTTTTAGACCATCCTGGGCAACATAGCCAAGACCCTGTCTCTAAAAATGTATACATTTGAAAATTAACTGGTCACAGTGGCACTTGCCTATAATCCTAGCTACCTGGAGGCCGAGGCGGAAGGAGTGCCTGAGCCCAGGAGTTCAAGGCTGCAGTGAGCCATGATTATGCCGCTGATCTCCAGTCTTGTGTGTTACCTTAATTCTCAGTTTTCGCATCAGTGAAATTCAAATAATATCGCCTCATAGAGTTGTCATAAGAAGTGAAGAACAATTACCTCTTCTTAGAACAGTGTCTTGAATGTAACAAGCATCATATAAATTTTAGGTTATGTTTAATTTCTTATCTGTCAAGTGATAATGAAAAGGATTATTCTTTAACATAGTAAATAATAAAGCAAATAGCTTATTAAAGCTTTTGAGTTTTGCCTTTGGAAAGATTCTAGTATTAGTATTGGCTGTTTTTTCAAGTCTAAAATATTTCTGTAATTAAAGCCTGTCTCCTTTAAACTACTTTACAATTATTTTCTAGAAAGAGTACTCAGTTACTTGTTGCCTAAAAGTACATAAAATTGCTCTTCTTCCCCTACTGAAAAAGAAAAGTTATAAGAACTACCAGTTTGACAACTTCTTCTGTACATGTGTTGTATATTGTAAGGTACAAGTTTGATATTTTTCTACATATGGAATTTTAAATACAAAGCAGATATAAAGATACAGTAAATAGATCAGATTCTTTAAAGCAACATATTTAAACTTTCAAATAAAACTTAAACAGAATCAGTAGTGTTCAATCAGTTCTAAGTTATTAATACTAAGTTACTTAGTCACTCCATTAAGATTCAACAAAATGGTTTGGTTAATCAGTGGTACCAAAAATTAAATTTTGGTTTTAATCTTAGTCCTTCTTGTTAGCTCTCCTGGAATTTTTCTGAAATTTCATGAAAAAATAAGAGAATGATTTCAGAAATATGTGTTTATAAACATTTGTTTATTTACTGATAAGTTTGAAATTATAAGCATTTATGAAAATGTATAAAACACATGAAAATAGGTAGTGATATATAGTACCCTTACTGTGGCTACAGAAAAATAAAAATAAAAATAATTGGTCTCACTTTAAATTCATGACCACAAGTCACAAATAGATTCTTAATTCTGTCATTCATAAGCTCATTGACTTTCTTATTCTCTAGATGACTATTTCACAAGTTCTCCTCTCTTTTCAATACTGTATTAATTTTCTATTGCTGTAAAACAAATTACCACAAACTTAATGGCTTAAGCAACACACATTTATATTCTTATAATTTCTGTAGGTCAAGAGCCCAGGCATGATTTAAGCCAGGCAGGCTGAGCCCTTTGCTTGTGACCTCACAGGGCTGTAATCAGTGTCAGCTGGACTGCAATCTCTTCTATAGGTTTGACTAATATGCGTCCCTGTTCATCCAGGTTGTTGGTTGTTGGCAGCGTTCAGTTTTTGTGAGGGTTTTTTTTTTTTTTTTTTTTTTTTTTTTTTTTAAGCTGTTTCACTGAGGGCCACAACTTATAACTGGCTGTTGGCTACAGGCAATTCCCAGATTCTAGAGGCCACCCACGGTTACCTGCCACATGACCCTCTCCACAGGGCCGTCAAAACTTGGCTGTTTGCTTCATGCAAGTCCATTAGGAGAATCTCTCTCCATTGTATGCCAGCAAAAATGGAGTCTTATATATTGAAGCAAATCACAGGAGTAACTTTCTTACCTCCTTTACCCTACAACATAATTTAATCATGCTAATGACATTGCATCATTTTTTCCATATTCTTGTAGTGAGAAGTAAATCATGTGTCCCACTCACACTCAAGGGGAGAAGATTGTACAGGTTGTAACGCCAGTGGGTAGAGATCATGGAAGTTTTCCAAGAATTGTCCCTACCACAACCCCCACAATGTTTCTTGTTTTTTATACTCTCCCAGCTAATGACCTTACTTCTTTACCTACTTCACTGAGAAAACTGAAGCAATCAAAAGTGAACTTCCACAAACTCATACCAACAACTACTTAATGAAGCAGCATTTATACCCACATAGTCTGCCTTCTCATCAATTACTGTAGGTAGATTTTCCCTGCTCTTGTCTAAAACCATTCATTTCAGTTGTCCACTAAACATTCTTCCTTTACTCAAGAACTTTCCTTCATCAATTCTACCTTCTCTCTCCTTTTTCTGTCAAGTTTTTGCTCTCTACAGAATCATTCCCATCAGTGTGCAACTGTTTTTTCTGTCATCTTAGAAAGCCAAACAAAACTTTCTTCATGTCACTTCCCCCACCAACTAATGCCCTGTTTCTTCTACTCCTTTGTAGTAAAACTTACGAAAGTGTTACCTCTACTCTATTTCCCAGTGTTGGTATTCCCATTCTTAAATCCACTTCGCTCAAATTTTTGCCTCCCCCATTCCACCAAAACTCTTTGCCAAGGACATCAATGATGAGCACTTTGCTAATTCCAGTAGTCTGTTCTTAGTCTACATATTACTTTACCTACCAACAATATTTTTTAAA